GATGGAGAAAAGAATCCCCCTGCTGATAATAAAGGAAAAGCCATTCCAGGAAAGCTGTCTTTTGGCGGCCTGTTTGTACATATCCTTTGGAATGAAATGCCTGTAACTGTCAGAGCCACGTACAAGCATGAGGCTCTATGCATGGGGGCAGAAAGTGGACCCCAACCCAAAAGGAATAGCAATTGGAAAGTGCGTGGGCTCTGGATGCCAATTCAGGCCTGGACAGCCCACTCTCAGTCCCCAGGTGTCTTACAGTTTGAGCCACTATTATTTGAGAATCCAGCTGAAAGGCTAGTGAATGATCCAACAGTGAATTTCTCAAAAAAGGAAAGGGCAAGCAGGCTTTCCCAAACTCACTTGATTTCTCTGGGTTTTTTTCTTGGTTGCATGTATGAGAAAACATAATGATTCACTGTTTTCACCGTTTAAATGCATTTGTATGAGAAAGTATTTACTTGCAGCCTAAAACTTTGACTAATCCTATAATGCAAAACAAAAGAAAGTACAAAAAATGCCTCTGTCAAATAGTTTTATAGTTTCACAGGCTTTGCAAATTGAGGTCATAAGGCATTTATAGAAAAGTATATGGGTAATGCTTCAGAAAATGTGGGAAAAATGATTAACAAGACCCAGGTTGATTATGAAGATTAGGTAATCAAAGTGTTTATTTAGGAGTTGGGGGTGTAATTCAGTTGGTATTGCTTGTCTAACATACATGATGTCTTGGATTCTATCCACAGAACCACTAAAACCATGGTAGTATATGCCTGTAATCCCAGCACTCTGGAGATGGATGCGGCAGAATCCAGAGGTTCAATGTCATCCTTGGCTACAGAGTGAGTTTGAGGCCACCTGGAGATAATGTCAAAGAAGGGAGTATGGTCATGCTTTAGGTTTGCTGTAGAGTCCCTGCATGGACAGAGGCCTTTCACTAAGGGGAGAATGGACCCAGGAGTAGTAGTTTTGATGGAGAAATCAGGACATGATAGCAATCTGCGAGACCTTCCAAACAGAGAGTTCAAGTCATATGACCATGACAACACTGAAAACATAAAAATGGTTAACATAAAAAATGAGTGGCCCATAACTAGCTTGGGACATTGCTGCCCATTTCTTAACTATATGTTTAAAATGAGGGGATGGTAACAAGCCAGGGAGTGCAGTGGGTTCAACTGTGTGCTACGAAGAAGCTTGAAGGTTTCCTACCTCCTAGAACTATGAATGTCACCTTTAGACATAATGTCTTCGCAGATGGAATCAACTAAAGGTCATGCTGGATTCAAGCAGGTTCTGCATCCAATAACTGAGTCATAAGAAGTGGGAGACTCAAAGTCACCCAGAGGCATGGAAGAGAGGATTGGATGGAAACAGGCAAACTAAAAAGAATGCTTGGAGCCACCAGGGGCTAGAAGGGACAAGGATGGAGACTTTCTTTGGGCCTTCGAGACTCTTACACTGTGAGAAAATAAACTCCTGATGTGTTTAGCCACTCACTTTGTGCTACTTTGATACAGTAGTTATAGGAAATTAACAGAGAGACAAAAAGTTTGTTCTCAGCTTCAGATAAAATTAGGTGAAAAGACTTCGGTCAGATATTAGACATTAAATGAGAATGTATTTTACAAAATGTATTTTACAAAAGAAATATTTTGGGAGTTTGGATTTATTTTCCATTTCAAAACTGGGACCAACAGTACTTAACCCATAAAGCTGTACAGGTGGATATATCAGCTTATTATGTTATTATTAGGCACATATTAGATACTACATGTTAGTCCTTATTAACGTATTAGCACTACTTGGTAGTCTTGTAATTTTTTAACCACAATACTAATATTATTGCTGTGTCAAGCCACACAGTTGCCCATGCTGTCACTACGCACAGAGCAAAGCTGGTTTGAGGTCTGCTGTAATTCTAAAAGTGGCTCTCACTTGAGCAGGCATTATGCAACATCTAGAGATGGTTTTGTCCTCACAGTGGGAAGAGGTGCTACTACCAAACAGTGGGTAGAGACGAGGGATGCCAATTAAACCGTAATTATACAGGATCACCCCACAACAGAGAACCACAGGCCCCAAATTTCAGTACTACTGAGTTTAGGAAGTGTGTTCTAGCAGTACTTGGGTAGCTTCTAGTCACAACTTTCAATACCAAAGGATTCACTTTCTCATCAAAAGTGGTCAAATTACACTCACCCTTTTGAAACTGGGTAGAACACACTATTAACAAAATGCTTCACAAGCAGCCCAGAGTTGATAAGACCTATACATTTTTTTCCTGATCTAGGCACATACTAAACAAGCCAGGAGATATGCTCAGCACAAATCATCTGCCAGTCTGGACAGGAGGAAGGAGAGTAACTGTCCTCCTATGGAACCCCTCAGTAGCAGGGAAGGAAGTCTCAATGTACCAAAATCCACTGGAGACCCAGCAGCTAAACTCCCTGACTGGACCCTGAAATTACAGTCAGTCAGTGGGTGGTTGGATCAGTCCTAGAGAGCTGGCACAGATAATGACCCCTTATCTCTCCCTTGTAGCCATGTCTGAATTATTGCCTGACTCAGTACTGTTGTATCTGCTTCGCTGCTGCCTCTGGCATGCAAAGCATCTGCAGTTGCCTCCTTAAAGCTACTGTGTAAATACAGCAGGACATACTGTACATTTTAAAACCAGTCTGTTTATCAAGCCTCTTTCCCACATACTTAAGTCATAAACAGGTTGAGTGTCTAATGCTATTTCCTCAATTGAGATGAACTTATCAAGGCAAGAAAATGTCAGTTTGGGTAGAAGTTAAATTAGGTCTTCAGGCCGCCCCTCCACTGGAACTATGTCTTGCTCTTTCTGTCGTTAAGATTACAAGTGTAAAAATACTCGAGCACATAAATGTAGCATAGCTAGATCAACATGAAATATAATGGCAAAATCACCTGTGGAGGGCAAAGCTGGCAGCTAAGTAAGATGACATGCCTCAATTCTGCAAATTCTATGCGTACTGACGAGCTCTGTGCAAGTTCAAGAATAAAAGCTTCACTGTCCTGGTTTAAGTAATACCTTTACTGTCGACATCCAATTGTCAGTTAACATAATCAAAATGGCTCTAATATTTAAAACTGGGATGGTACTATCAATACATAGTTATTATTCAAGCCAATAAGTTGAATATTTTTTTTGGCCCACTGAGTCAGAAGATATATTTCAACAGCTGGAAGATGTTCAAAGCTAAGAGTGCTGGCATTGAAAAGGACATACATAACACCAGGCATGGTGTTACACATGCATGTTGAGAGCCAGGCATGGTGTTACACGTAAATGTAATCTTATCAGTCAGGAGGCCTAAGCAGGAACAATTGAGAGTTAGAGGCCAGCCTGGGCTGCAGAATGAGTTTTTGACTGTTCTGAGATAAAGAAGCCCCATCACAAACCTCAACATTTCTGAAAAAGAAACCTTTATAAAAGCCAAAGAAACATGCTATTTTGTAGGAAACCACAAGACAAAAGGATGGAGAGATGGTTCAGTGCTTAAGAGCAAATGACCTGATTTCAGTTCCAGCACCCACATCCAACGCCCTCTTCTGGCCTCAAGGCACCTTCCCTTACATTCATATACCCACACATAGACGTACATATACATAATTTAAAGTAAAAATATGAATATTTAAAAAATAACTAGAACCATTTAGATGACCCTCATTTTAAAAATATCTTTCTATATCCTTGGAGACAGAGAAACATTATCTTTCCTAAAATTATTATTTATTATAGGCATCTATATTTACCATAGTCATGGTAGAGTTTTTAGGGGTAGACCATAAAGTTTTTCACTTTACATGCACAGGCATACAACTGAACAATTCGTAATAAAGTCTGATTAAAAAGAAATGCTCAATCTTTGCTTCCTTTTCATCTGAATTATCAATGCACAAAGCCAACAACTCAGAACTAGCTTTGAAATAAATCTTTCATGATAAATTTGGACATTCATTTTATATTTTCATAGGTGGTCTCTTTCTACATCTATTGCTGAAATTTCATCCTCTGAACTACTCCTGTTCTATAGTGTGCCATCAATTCACCCCATATTCCTCATCCTTCTTGGTGATAATGAGCATGTCCTTGAAAAGGAAGAAACAGACTTGCTGTTTGGATGTTCTATAGTGTGCCATCAATTCATCCCACTTCATTCATACATGGAAGTATACCACAGTTTTCCGTTTTTATTCCCAGTCAAATTCTAGCAAAGATGCCGTACCAATGGTAAAACAGTTTAGAGCCCTACATGTATTTAGTGATGACATCACGTAATAGAGTACTATCTGGGAAAAGGCTGAGCTAAGGAATGTGTGTGTGTGTGTGTGTGTGTGTGTGTGTGTGTGTGTGTGTGTGTGTGTGGTGTGTACGCAATGTGAGAAGGGGAACTGTTTCAGCCTTGTATGGTATTCCTCCTGGACAGCTCCCTAAAGAAAGGCATGAATGAACAGCAGAAGGACGGACAAACACTTCACCATTCAACTGGTGTGCTTCCTTCCCTCCATAAAAAGTATAGTCAACACCTTTCCATTTGTGGGCACACTTCTTAGATGAACGACCATTAAGGACAGCAGCACTTAAGGTACTAGAAACACTGGAGTCACCCCCTGGCCAGTTCTTAACAGTTTATTCTAGTTTTATACAAAAGTTCTATGGCAGAAGAAGTTTTTAAAAATGCTCTGGGCATAACCAGAGTGCTACTGCCCCAGGGCAGAAGAGAATGACTGATGTGGATGTATCAGATGCTTAGAACACTGGCTTGCACACTGTAAAAGTTCAGTAGAATTTGGCTGCAATTACAAGATTAGTAATGATGCAAGTCTTAACTATACTGGTAATTAAAGACAGTAAAGGCCAAAAGTGATTATATTCAACATGTAGGTACTATACATCTGCCACTTGAGCTGTTGAAGGATGACCACCATTCCAGGCAATGGAATGAAGTAGCCTGTAACACTTGACTAAGGCTCACCTCTTCTTCTTGGTGATAATGAGCACGTCATTGAAGAGGAAGAAGTAGACTTGCTGTTTGGACGTCCTCTTTGAGAACAGCACTGTGTCTTCCACGTAGGCCGTCAACTCACCTCTTTTCACTAACCATCGGGAAGAAGAGACGAGCGGAAAAGGCTACAGAGAGAGGAAAACTCAGTGTCCACAGCCAAGTGAAAGGTCACTAAGAAATTATAATCAAATGATGCATCTGATGGGCACATCATTATCTTATAGGTTAATAGCAGCAAAATGCAATGAGAGGAATACAGTTCATTCTCCAAGAGCAAATAAGCATTTATTTTTCAATATTAATTTTCCCAAACACAATTTGCCCTATTAATTTAATTTGCCCTATTAATATAATATAATTTTCCCTATTAATATAATTTTCCCTATTAATTTGCCCAAACAGAACTAAAATAAGAACATGTTATTGGGTCATAAAATTATGACTTCTATTAAAGAAAATGAGACATTTAAAATAAAAAACCTTAGTAATGAAGTCTACCTTATTTTAAATATCTGACTGGCATGTGGAAAGACAGACAGCCGTAGTTGCTGAGAGACAAACTGAAATGTCTATATTCACCATGAACTGTAGGAGACAAAACACTCCCCAAACTTAAGTTTTGTCTACAGACATCTACTCAGTAACCCTCTGAGGAGAACCTGTTTTCTAGTTTAAGGTACTTTTCCTTGTGTAAATATGTCTCTGAAACATGAGGCACTTTCTGATTATGAAAATGAAGTTCTTCCAAGGAGATCCCTTGAATGTCTCAGGAAAGGCTGCACCCAGAGAATTCCGAAACACCTTTCCTCTATTCAGTTTTGTACACACCAACTAGAAATTCTCAAAACCACATAATACTTTGTATCCTTTACAGTTCTTGCCTCTCTTTTAAATAAGTTACTAGATTTCTCACTGCCAAAAATTCAATTTAAAAACATATATTCATAAATAAGCAAAACTTCCTACGTACACAAAATACAAGCATTAATATGGTACAATCAAATGTCATCCTACTCAGAAAAATAATTAAAAATAGCTAAAGGAGCCAGGTGTGTTGGAGCACGCCTTTAATCCCAGCACTCGGGAGGCAGAGGCAGGCAGATCTCTGTGAGTTCAAGACCAGCCTGGTCTACATAGTGAGTTCCAGGCCAGCTGGGGCTACAGGGAGACCCTGTCTCAAAAAGACCCCCCCCAAAAAAAAGCTAAAGGAAATTGAGGATATTAGGGAGGAAATGAAAAGGCCAAGAAAAGATTTCATAGTTCTCCAAACTATAAATGGTTTTTATAATAAAAAGTTGTTCATTAGTTATTTACAAATTCAACAAGAAGATCAAAGATTTCATCTAACTGCAAACTTTGCAAACTGACTATTAAGGGAACTTGTGGAGTTTCCAGCCGCCTAAATCTTGAATCAGACAACAGGAACAGCTGAGCCCTGAAAGGTCAACACACAGGATTGCTTAGATAACCCCGAAGGTACACCAGTGTGCTTAGAGGTCACTACAAACACATGAGCCAGGTTAGGTCCTCCCCAGGGCTGCAATTTCTGGAACACAAGGCTGTCTTGCCATTGGGTGTGAGTTCTCAGGATGAACCAAGCACAGTTAAGATGAAGTTTCAACATATTTTGACCCTATGCTAATTCCTGGTTTAAGGGCTAGGGAAAAAGGTTTTTACTGCTTTGTCGTTTTAAAGCAGATTTAATTTTTATGGAATCTTCATGTTCTCCTAAGAAATCCCAAGTTTCCACCTATTCAGCCAAAACTGACAGTAGCTTTCGGTACCTCTGTGCTTCTTTTGAAAATAAAACTGCTGTTACAAATACTGAGAGAAAAGTCTCTTTCCTCCTGTTCCTCAACCCACCCAGTTCCCACTCACCAACTACTGACTGTACAGGTAAACACACACTAGGTCATTCTGTGTCTTTTCCAGGCATCTTTGGTAGAGAATTTTTTCATATAAATTTTATTTTTCCACTTAATGATATATAAGATAGTGTCTACTGATACCTAAAACTTCCACCTCCCAAAGTCGACTGCTATTATGTTACTATGGTGTGTTGTGCTCATTTAATCAGTCCTCTTTGACAGATAATACAGACTGCTTTCAATCCTTGGCTAAAACAAACACTTCTTGAACAACTGCATGTAATATTTATGTTCATGAGTACATAATAAATTCTTACAAGTAGAATTGCTGGGTTACAATAACATGCATTGTAATTGTGATAGAAAATTCTAGATTGCTGTCACTGGGGTTCCATCCATAGCATGTATAAAATTGTCCTTTCCTATAATCGCACCCGAGAATGTGTTCTCACATTTTTGGATGATATATAAAACTAAGATTTGTTAGCTTAATATCCATTAGTAATCTTCTGAATGAAATAAGTATTTTTTAGGAGGATGAAAGGCTTTTATTTGCCAATTCTTAAGAAAGAGATTCATAAAACATTTATACATCTTTATAAGACATGTTTATAGGCAAAGGCACTGTTTTTATCTTTATTTATTTTTAATCTTTTACTTTATGTGTA